ATAATTTATTTGCCATGTTTTTGTGGCATTATGACATCGGGTTGGGTCGATCGGTCACATCGGGAATATAGTAGGTATTTTTTATATACATTTCAGTAGCCTTGACATTATCAAATCAATCAGTGCTTTTCTATAACAAAAATCTGAAAAAAATACCTAAGATATTAGACATTGGAAATCTCGTGACGTCACTGGCCATGTTAAATCGACGCGAAGAGTCTCCTAAGTTGTTGGTGACATTTGACTTCACAGGATTTTGATAAAATAATCTTGAATTTGACGCAAATGAAGTCGCGGGGTCAGCTTGTGTTGAGAACATGATTTTTTCAACAAATTCGGAAAGCAAAAGTTAGAATTGGAAAGTAGTCAGTAATTTCGTCAACTAGTACATGAGCCCGGATAGCTCAGTCGGTAGAGCATTGGACTTTTAATCCAAGGGTCCAGGGTTCAAGTCCCTGTTCGGGCGGCTCTTATTTTGTTTTTATTTTTTTACTGATAATAATAATAATTTTGTTCATTTATTTTTTCAGAATTGTTAATATTCCCTCGCTAAGTAAAACGTAATGGATTGTTTTTAATGTGATTAATTATTGTTTATTTTCTTATCTCTGCTCTGGGTTACAAAGTTTATACAAGACAAGACTTATTTTTTTATGATGAATTTCGTAGGAATTATAATGTCACACAATGTTTTCATAAAAAGTTAAGCGCGTGTTAAATGACAACTTAAACAAGTGTTCAATGCGTGTTTTACATTTTTCTAATAAGGCCTACTATTTATTTTTTATTCGTCTGATTTTGATTCTGAAGACTGATGTTACCTATTTTCATACATACAGTCGAATTGAGAAACTCCTCTTTTTTGAAGTCGGTTAAAAACAAAAAATCGATTTCGCAGGCAGTCGTCAAGTCGTAAAATTCGTTCATGTCGAAAATGATCTAAACCTCCCTATTCATAATTTCAACATCTGGCAACAAGCCCCTGTGGCCTAATGGATAAGGCATCGGCCTCCTAAGCCGGGGATTGTGGGTTCGAGTCCCACCAGGGGTAGAGAAGATGTTATTTTGTTCACTTTTTCATCATAAAAGGAATATTATAGTTTTCTATGCCCAACAAAACATGTTGCACCAAAGTTTTTTTGACTAGAATAATAGGCATCTTATTTTACTCCATTATTTATTAAATAAGACATATTTAAGGATTGTTTTTATGGCTTGGCATTAAGCCTTGGTGACACGTGAGCTTTTTTATCAATTGTATTTTTAAAGGTTGAGTACGTAACACATGCACTTACTTAAACCTACATATTGATATTACATCGCAGTCAGTGGAAAGTATTAGGGGAGGCCTATGTTCAGCAGTGGACGTCCTATGGCTGAAATGATGATGATGATGATAAGGCTTTTTTTATGAATACGTAGGTATTTCAGTTCATAATAACTAATTAGAAATCATCTTTGTTGCTTCATGATAAGGATGAGTATCGTAGATCTAGGAGTAGATAAAATGATTATCTATGGGCTGAAATTTCACACAAAAGGATTTTATCTACAAACTTTCATTATCACAAGCTCTATTAAGCTCAACGCATTCTACACGTTTTAGATTAGGTCATATCTGCTTACTACCCTTAATATAGCTATAATAAGCTCTTTATTACGTCGTACAGTCGCAATAAAAAGCAATAGAAATTGTGAAATGCTTTCAATATTGAAATGTCGACCTAGTTTGCTGGCAGGGTGTCGGGTGCGGCGGACCGACGGCAATTATTAGTGGCTCGTCATCTATTTTATTACCTAAAGTCTTGGGAACTAGATGGACACTGTATATAACTATAGTTAGGTATTATGGCCCCCGTTTGGTAAGTTTGCCTGTTGTGCGCTTGTTGGCTAGGAACTGCTTTGTAACTTCAATGTTCATAGAGCGTTTAAAGTACAAGAATGTGGGTTTATTATAATTATCTTGTCTAAAATGTACCTACAGCGAAAATATTAGTAGGTATGTATTTACTTGTACTTTCTTCGCAAAGCTTTTCATGAAGTAGCCTTATAACCTTCGTCACATTTCGGTTGGTCTTGTCGTTAGGAGGCGATTTGTTCCAGTAATCAGATAACACTTAGGCTTTATTTTGGATTATAAGTGTCAATTTTGACTCTACAGTGTGAACTGAAATCACGACTCTCCAATTTCAGCTCAATGCTAAATAATCCGATAGTATACGTGGGTATATGCCTCTATCAATCATTATGGCCGTGACAGCAAATCAAATGAAAACATTTTATGCAGTTGTAAGTGGTCGATGCGATTTTTCTTCGAAACTAGAAGGCCTTTAAATGCTGACAGATGTAAGTAAGGTAAACATTTTCCACATAGTGAAGTAGGAGCTTCTATAAAGTTATTTTTATGCCACAGGCATGAATTGCAGTTCCTCGTTACCACCTGCTGTAATCTGCTGAACATTTTATTACCAATTTTAAATCATCATCCAACTGACGCAAAACTACGCTTCACTAGTTCCAGATGTTCGAAATAATGACAACATTTCCATATTGTTTTCTAGTGTTGGGCCGAGTGGCGATGACAGCGCCTCCTAGCGGGGGGCGGAACGTGCCCGACTGTCAGACACATCGCGGAGTCCGGACAATGCCATTATACGCGTAATAACTACCTTTATCGGACGTCTGGCACACGCCGATATTTGTTTATTTGTCAGATTCAGCGCAACAAGTGCATGTATGAGAGCTGGAGATATTTCAGTCGATACTGTCTGTGTAGTTTGCATTTAAGTAGGTAGGAAATTGCATTGTTTAGGTAGGTACCTACTCGCAAAAGACACATTGATCGACTTCATCTTTTTCTAAATACATCTTTAGGTTAACATGACAATGTAAGTTTATAGAGTGAGCAAAACCATGCACAAAGTTTTCATACGTTTCACAAAAGTTTCAGCGTCATACTTTTGGGAAACTTATAAACATGAACTAAAAAGTTAACTTATGATTATTTTGGAAATGGGGTCTTTATTGTACAACTTTGCTCCTGTTGTTAATCATTAAACTAAAATTGCTTGTTTTCCATGTGTATAATTTTGATATTTCAACGATTTTTTTAAAGTAAAGTAAGGAATCCCGTTCATCAAACATTATTTCAAAAAAATGCTATCGTTTGCTTGACTGACACAGATTAGATCAATGTTTAGTAGAGACATGATTGTGATAGGTACAGACCGTACAGATTTGTTGATAAACTTTTATGCTTATCAATGCAGGTATTTGACCGCAATCGCACCTGGTGTTAAGTGAGATGCAGTCTAGGATGGTAGGACTTTCACTCTCGCCTTGAAAAGGTGAACTACATTGTAACGTGAAATAATTCATTCAACTGAATAATTGTTTGAATTTATAACAATGCTTAGTCAGGCATTTTGCTGAACATTCAGTTCAGCCGAATGGCCAGTACCTCTAGTAGGAAAAACTTTCGAGTTCGTTTCGTTGCGTATTCAAAGTGTCATCGAAAAATTTTGTATGAAAAATTAAACAGCGCCCCCTATATTTTTATTTTTAATACAAAATTTTAATTTTTCATACAAAATTTTTCGATGACACTTTGAATACGCAACGAAACGAACTCGAAAGTTTTTCCTACTAGAGGTACAGTCCAGTCCAGCGGCGCCGCACACTCGTAAACCCGCCGCGAGATGGCGCTGTTCGTTTTATTGCTAGTTTGCACAACAAGCTGTAATGAAGACTACAATATTGACAGACCATTAATTCAACAGGAAATTGTGCTGAAGCCGCGGTCTGCAGGTGATTGTGAACTTTTCAAATTACCCGCGTGCTCTGTGGCGGTTTCCACTTCAAATATACCTAGTAAGGAAGCTTGCGGGTCGAGCGGTTCACTCCCGGGATACGAGTTGAATAAACTCGACTGTGTACAGCGTATGTAGCTTAGATAACGAGTTAGTCAGTAGCCACCCTTATGTGCACTTGTATAGCACGATGCAATTCGCATGTAGGTTTTATTAGTAGCAGCTTTTGAATTGAATGGATTTATATGGTACTTACTACTTGTTAATGTCATGTATACCTAGCTAAGAACGTATGTATGCACTTACAAACTCAGTAGGTACATAAAAAAATATAAAACAAAAAGTTAAAGGCACATAAGATAGATAGACACCAAATCACATAAGAATGTCAGATAAAAGAAATAAAAAAAATAAACAGCACAAATTAGGCGCTCTTATAATCTTATTTGTATCCTCTAAGGCTGTAACTGAATAGCTTAGTTAATGCGGCATCGTAACGATAAGTAAGGAACTATTGACGCGATTTTATTTCTTTGTGACGCTCGACTACACTCGTCGGCGTCCAAGAGACGATTCTTTTAATTAAGACGCGGAAAGCCTCGTAAAATTTACGAGGCTGTGATTTAACTATTATTTGTCATCAATTTTATGTGGTCTTAAAGTAAATAGTCGGAACAGGGTCTTTTCGGATAATAGTATTAACAGCCATTGGTAAAAGAAATGAATATTGCAGTCTGAAAAAATACAAAACTGAACTAAATTTGGAGTAGATTCCTAAGTATTTATAAAATTACAAAAATCGGAATTACTTAAGCTGCTAAGAACTTGTATATACGAATTATTTTTTCACAAATGTAATCTACAAAATTATTAATTATTATGTATTTTACTAACTCACATTCCCGATCACAAACCTTGTTTATGCTGCCATCTATCGCACAGAAAATACTTCAGTACAATCAAAACAGTGCCCTCTAGTAGCGAGTGGACTAACTAAACGTTACAGCTGAAAAAGTGTTATCAAAGCTTCCCATCCGGACGTCCCTAAGTACGGTCCTTGTTTCAGTACAACGCAGTACAACGCAAGGAAACTAGATGGCGCTAGTACGAAATGATCGAGGACACGCTCTTCCTTTGTTTTTTCTTTCCTTTTTATTTCGAATTTTTATGAGAATAAAGCTTATGCTACACTTACCTCCAAGTTAAGTTGGTGTGTTTCCACTTCTCCCCCTGTACTGCAAACCTCTTTCTTCTTCGGGCATTTTCTTCGCCTACCTCCCGGTCCGGCCGGCCACATCGCTTCTGCCGCATCAGGTGCTTGGTCGCTTCGTCTACCACTCCCGTTACTGGTATTCCTCCAAATTGCTGGAAAATGACAGAAAATCTTTAAAGTGGAGAAAATATCAGAATATAATTTATCTCTAGATAACTCTACCTAGAGGTAGCTAGGTAGCTCTTTTTTGCTCGTAATGTAAACTGCTGCCACTAGAATTTTTTAAACTAAGTAGGATCATAGAATATGTGTGACGTTGAATAAAAAGGGTTAGAAAATGCCACTCTCCTTTAAACCATTTTTCAGACTATCTAACGAAGAAAGTAATGTAATTATCAGGATATTTATAGACCTTTTCAGGCTGAAATGTTTAAGCTTTACTGAAAAAAAAAACAATACTTACTTGTAAAGTTTTGATAGCAATCTTCAAATCGTCTTCGTACTCTTGAACCTTGTCGCCCATGAGCAGGTTGCCTATCTCTAGCTGGCCTTTCTTCAGGTAACCAAATGACTCTAGGTAACTTCTCTGAAAAGAAAGAAAACGCATTTGTTAAATTACCTACGTTATTGGTCAAGCTTTTTCGTCACAAACAAAACAATCTGTACTCAGGCTGCATACAATTTAAACTAATTATTTTCTTTCCATATTGTTTTTGACGGTAGGTGGTCAGTGAATTCTATATTTTTTTAAATATTACAGATTAAATAAAATATATTCAGATTAGATAAAAAGTTTTGCTACCTATGAATGTTAAAAAATAAACAAAAAAGTAAAAAGAAAAATCTCATGACATTTTGCAATGCAAAAATAAAATAAATATTCAAAACTCCCTTAATTGTAACAGTTCTCCCCACAAATAGTCCAGAATACAATAGCGGGGAACCAAAGTCATTATGTGTTTTGAGAATACGAAATTATGTCAATGCATTAAAAAGGCCCAGGAGCCTAAACAAACTCTATCCCGGTGCCAAACATCCTCTTTCTTACTTTTAATTTTAGCCCCTGTGGCGTGACAATGGTTTAAATTGTAAAAAGATGTCTTTGTGGCTTTTTCTATGAGGACATTATTAACTTTTTGTACAATGTTTGGGGACGGCAAGCAGACGCTATCAAATACGTCACTTTTAAAAGACGGGGAGTTTATTTTGGTGTTAATTTAAATGTCTTAAAATAAACTTTACCTAAAAAGTAGTCATTTATTCAAGTCAACTACATTAAGATACCACGTGTTCGGTACAAAAACATCCAAAATTGTTTTAAGTGTACCTACATACATAGGTTAAAGGAAATTAAGAACTAATTTTTTTTTTAGATACGGTTATTCCATGACATGAATAATTACCTTTTTAAAAAAATAAAACCGACTTCAAATGCGTGAACACAAAAAAAACTAAAAATTAAAAATATTGCGTATAAAAAAGTTCATCCCCAATTTTCCACCCTTAGGGGTGAAATATTTTCTTCAAATTCGCATGAAACCACCCTTTTGATAATACCTATTCAACAAAAAAATAATCGTTCAAATTGATTTATAATCAGCGGAGATATTGCGTATAAAAAAGTTCATCCCCAATTTTCCACCCTTGGGGGTTGTTTTTTCTATTATTAAATTTAAATGGGACCACCCTTGAGGTATTACCTATACGCCGAAAAAATATTTGTTCAAATCGGTTCATAATTGGCGGAGTTATCGCGTAACAAACATAGAAAAAAAAAACATACGGGTCGAATTGAGAACCTCCTCCTTTTTTGAAGTCGGTTGAAAAGTACCTATCTTACATTTTAATTTATTTGGTGTCTACAACAGCTATACCTTTAACTTAAAGAATTTCATTGAAAAAGGTCTCTGTTAGCAGTCCATTATTCCGCACCTAACTTATCTTAGGCGGGTCTAGTCGTATTGTTTACCCTGGGTACAGTCGACAGCACATACACCAGAGTTCATCAGACTATCCATTTTGGTTGCAAAATAGCTCGTATTACAACAAAATAAGATGTCACAGGGTTTAGTTTTATGTGTTGTCCATTGTGCAGTCACGGAATGAAAAGGTTCGTCAGTTTTCAAATTGATTCCTTCAACGAATCGCGAGCACATATTACCTTTTGAAACTATGTTACAGAATAATCTCGAGTTAGAGAAAATAATCTATAACTGTTCGTCAGTAAAGTTCAAAATTATTCAGATCAAAGTTGTTTGACGTTCAAAAACAAGTGATAGCGTGGGTAGTTTAACATTAATAAGCAAAAATTTTATATCATGCGATAGCCAATAAAATTATCTATTAGTAGAAGTAGAAAACAGATACAAGTTTTATACATTTTAAGGGTGTAAGAATGGATTTAATTAGAAATAAACATGATTTTTTTCACATCTTTTTCAGTTATTTCCCAACACAAGAAAAACCAGGTCGTTAAGGTATGTTTTATTTGCATTGTATTATTAGTATTTGAGCCATTCTACAAAACGAATGTAAATTTATTAGTCTACGTCTATTAGTTTCGACGTAAAATAATTGTTGAACAGAGATACCCATTCCCAGCGGTTTCCATAGTAATTGGAATAAGTAGGTTGTGTGATTCTTTCAGGCAGTGCATTTTCGCATGTCGCGTGCGCTATGGAAACCGCTGGGAAGGGGTATCTTTGTTCAACAATTACGTCGAAACTAATAGACGTAGACTAATAAATTTACATTCGTTTTGTAGAATAGCTCAAATACTAATAATAAAATGCAGATAAAATATACCTTAACGACCTGGTTTTTCTTGTGTTGGGAAATAACTGAAAAAGATGTGAAAAAAATCATGTTTATTTCTAATTAAATCCATTCTTACACCCTTAAAATGTATAAAACTTGTATCTGTTTTCTACTTCTACTAATAGATAATTTTATTGGCTATCGCATGATATAAAATTTTTGCTTATTAATGTTAAACTACCCACGCTATCACTTGTTTTTGAACGAAGAGGTGAAAACTTAAAATTAAAAACTTAAATCCTTGTAAATATGCGAGAAATGGGTCAAGCCCCAAATTTTAAGTATTTTCACCGATAAAATTGTCCATAGATTACGCCCTTAAAGTTTGATCACTACATGCCCGGACACACTGTATAGATATAAATCGAGATATGGGTATGTTATCACCAATTGATACGATAATAATTCCTATATTCTTTTTGCACGTAATATCCGTAATTTGCGACAAGACTTGTCTATTTATTAATATTATAAATTCATATTAATGAACAAGTTAATATTTTGCCTCGAGCTAGGCTAGGCGTAAGCCAGTAGCCGTTGCTTAACATGGTCTACAATCTGACACTTTCAATTTATGCCGACAAAAGTGGCACACCGGTGTTGCCATTATTATCCTTTTAATTTATGCTTGAAATGAAAACATGTAGTTGCTGTTTACCTGCAAATCTTTGATTATAATTGTTTCCTGATTCGGAATTTCTAGTTGCTGGCGAAACAAATGGCTATAACTCAATCTTATAAGTTTGCAAAAACATGATAAAAGCTCATAACTTACAAAACTGTCAATATTTTTTGTCTGTCTGTAAAAATATCGTTACAGTAACAAACAATTTTTTAAGCCAATCGTATTTGTATTTCATGATTTGCTCTTTTACGTGTACTAATCAATTCACTTTATCAGATCGGGTCGGATTCGGGATCGGGGGCAAATGAGGTCCTTGTTCGAAGTAGGGCAGAGCACCATTGGGCCTCGCGTGCCGCCTTCTATCTTGCTTCTAATTAATTGACAAATCTCTGTCATTAACCTGTGCCACTTCCAAACCATTATTGGCGTTTAATCCTCGACAAATGTTAGGTTAACGATCGCGTTCCCAGTATTTGTATTTTGTAACCATTACCCTAGAATACTGTGAGTAACTAATTGTTCTTGCTTGCTTATTTTGTTTAAGCTAGGTTCTTAGAGATAAGGACACGTTATCAAGGATTGTATTTAATATCTTTGTTTTGTCCTGTCATAACCAGGTCTTGTAATTATATTCGACCTGTCATGACCAGTCTTTAGGTTCAACAACTTACAGTGTAGCTTAAACCTTACCTTTAAATATATAGGTATTTTTTATCCACAAAGAAGTTTATAATATCAAGTATATTTTGTACTGATATCATTGAGTTAAGGAATACTTTTCGGTTTTAAAATTTGTATGATCTCTGACCCTCCGATGGCAAATTAATCAATATCCCTTCCTTGTGTATACACGTGTTCATATAATACTTAGTCAATTAGTTTCCATTAGACGGGTTCCGAATAATTTGCTGTCATCATTTCCCTGTATGCAACGTCATTACCGACGGAGTCCCCTCAAACACAGTCAGTCATCTCTTGCTATTCAAGAATCACGCAGGGAGCCATCGAGATTAATGCATTGGAAAAGGCATAGATGAAACTCTACTCTTACATCCAAGTACTTATTACAATTTTTTCGAGCCCAGGGAATGTTCAAACGAGACTTAAAAATTTCGAATTGCCAAATCAAAAAATACTATCTAATTAATCCTTGATTGAGTAATTACAGTCATAAATATTCGGTTAATGAGTAGCACGCGCCTAATTGTGTGTGTCCTTTTGTTGAAGTCGGTTAAAATAGCAACATTCTTCTGAAAGCTTATGAAAATATTACTATTTTTAAAACAAAATTCAAATTGTCGTGGCCACGGTAAATGACTTGCGTATCGCGTGCCCTTTGACCACAACCGACTGATTGAAGAAGGGGCTGAAGGATGGTGCAGCTACTGCACCGTACATCAGCTGTCATTGGGCACGTCAAACCTCTGGTATGAATACAAATCGACGCGAGGGTGTTTTCGACATGGTAATGAATGAATGAATAACAATTGGTTCATTATTTTGCCATTATTGACCTACGATTTGCGTGTTATTTTAAATTATGTTCACATATCTTTTCCGCTAAACTTACAAATCATTAATAATTTGAATTTGAGTTAATTAAGGCAATTACGAGATTAAATAAGGAAAAAATAGTATTTATTAATTTTATATGCCTACCTATCTTTTCAGTTAATAAATACAACGTAAGTATACATAGTATGAAATTGTCTTTATTATGTAGTTTCTATTTTCTTCGTTGGTAGTATAACCGAGTTACACTCTCTTTGAATTTACAGTGATACATTGCTCGAGCAATCCCTCAAAACGTTGGGATAATTAATTCTTAATTAAGTCTCTCTTAACTGAAGGTTGTTACAGTTTAATGTTGATTGAATGACAGTTAATAGGTCAACTGGTTACCATCCGTCATCCGGTAGCATCTGGTCTAATGGTAATGATAATAGTGACATAATAACAGATAATACTTGGAGGGTCTCGAGTGTGATGTATTTGTTAGAAGCTCACAGAAGTAGAGTCGTTAAAAAGTTTTAATACTTTACGAAAGCATTAGAGGATACGTTATTTATCTACTCTATGTCCCTTTTTATCTCTGTAAGTTTGTAAGAAGCAGTACCTAACAGAAGCCCTTAAAATCCGTTTACATTAGTGTAATTATTTGAAAGAATTGGACAATAAGGCTGAGTTGTACCAACTTACTTTAACCGTAACTATGACAAAAAACACCGGATATCGTTATAGTTATAGTCAAAGTTAGGTGGTGCAACTCAGCCTTAGTTATAGTATTTGGTAATTATTAGGTTTAATTCACACGTTACAATATAATATTATGAAAAGTACGTAGAATAACCTAATATTCTAAGAACAAACTTACTTTTTACGAATTTGAATCGCTCCAGGCACAGTTGACTGTGTCACCGCCGAATACCGTGGCGGGAACAAAACGCCAATCTGAATGCGATTTAGGGAGACAATGAGGGATGGATTTAAATTTCAAATCTGTCCGTGACACGCGAAATTAAATGTAATTATGTTGGCAGTGACAATGGTCGAATTGTGAGCATTGTGAGTTTGTTTGCAAAGGTGTCGAGCGTGATACAGCCTTACATTTACAAGTATAATTTTATAAAACGTACTGAATTTGGACAGTACTTTGTGTGTTACGTTTCATTCATGTCTTAACAACTCTAATGAACTAGTCACCAAAGTTTAGTGTTATCTAAAATGAGAATTAAGCCTGCAAGAAGAAAAAGATGCTCAGATAAATGTACGAAGAACTGCGAATCAAAACAACTACCTACAATATTCTCCCTGTAGTACATGAGGGTGCTCACGGATTTGATTCCTGATTGTTTTTTAATCGATTTGCATTTGGTCTGCTCGCGTATGTATTTTTTCCTCGGCAAAAATCTGTTATACCAAACAAGGATTTTTCGAAGCCATGTTTGTTATGTTAATTAGTACATACATACTGCATCGTATCAGTTTTCCTAATATTAATTAAATATAAATTTTCCTAATATTGTTTAATTATGTATAAAAACTTTACCTCGTTAAGATACATTATTTGTTTTAAATGAATAACCTTATATTGTGACTTATATTTTCCTGTTTATTGACAGTCATCTTGCTATGTATTCGTGTATGATGTATACGACTACATTCATAATGATTGCGGAATTTATTTGTAATAATATTTTGGATGTAGAGCGTGCACTGCCTATGGAATTCGCTCCAACTGGTTTGGAATAATAAAACGACAGGTTACATTGAAATATTTTCTACATGGTTGTTCCTAAAAGCTTCAATAATAGATAGGATTGCTATTCATATCTAGTGCATTATAAACTGTGCTAAAATCTGCATGTTCTGATGTGAAAGTTTTTGTTTCTTCAATCTTCAATCATTGGCTAAGGATAGTACATTACAGCAGCATTTACATTTTACTGTAAAATATAGGGCCTGGTAAGAAGCACAGTGATTAGTAAGACGAGCTATCATATGATAAACGGATGTATACTGATATCTTTGATTCTGATTACAAATGCGTGTGCTCATTTCCCTAACATTTGCCTC